TCCACACCCCAACATTCGGCATCAGGAGGATAAGGTGAACCCAAGAATCTGCACAGGTAAAAGGAGCCACAATGGGGATTTTAAGAGGGAAAGGTAGGGGGCTGTGGGGAGGGGTCCTCCATTCTACTGTGAGGTCCGCCCAGGTGCTCTCTCTGCACCCTGATAGAACCCGCATCCAGCCATCCTCCCACCTCCCACCCTGTCAGCTGAGGCCCCCAGCCCAGGACCATCACAGAGCCATTGGAACGCCCAGGCCAGGAGCATCAAGCTTTCTCAGCAAAGCCACACTCCCTCCGCCCCAGCCGCTTCTCCCGTTTCTTCCCTCACGTCGAGCTGATTCCCGTCTCAGAGCCTAGGCACTGTTCTTCTCTTCCCAAGATCTGCCTGGGGTTGGCTCCTTCTCACCACCGAGGCCTTCTCCGACCATCCTCTCTGCAGCTGCAGCTGACCCCTTCCCGGCCCTCTTCATCACATGACTGCTCCATTTTTTTCCACATCACTGAAATTTCCTGTCTGCTGTCTGTCTCCCTTATCAAGGAAGCCTGTGTCTCTTATTCCTCTTTGTGCCTCAGTTTCCATATCTATAAAATGGGGACAATTTTACCTCCTAGGACTGTTGGGAGGATCAAAGGAGCTAACACACACAGAACACTCCAAACAGGACATGGCACCGTACTAAGCATTATGTAAGTGATGGGTTTTGTCATTTATATTCATATTCTCATTCATTGCTTTGTTTTCAGCATCTAGAGCTGCACCTCGTACATAGCAGGCACCCAATACATATTTTTTTAAAGATTAAATTTTTTTTTAAAGATTTTTATTGGGGAATTGTGGGGATGGGAACAGTGCTGGGGAATTGGGGGAAGGGGAACAGACAAGTTGCTGTCCTTTTGTTCTTCAGTCTAGTTGTGGAGGACGTTGCTTCACTGGCCCAAGTTGGCACCATCATTGCGCTCTTCCCAGGCGAGGCAGATCAGTCACTGGCTTCTGGACGGCCGCTCACGCTGGCTGCTGGCTACACACCGTAGCCCATGGCAACCCACTGCAGCAAGGGCTGCAGCCTACACTGTCGCCAGCAACTCACGGCAGCCCAGCTCCAGGTTGAGCTGTTGTTCAGCATCTTAGCTGTAGAGGGCAGTGTCACTGGCCCTCATGTGTGGGATCCGAACCGGGGCCCTCTGGCGTCCCAAGCCAGTTCTTAACCATCGCGCCATTCGGCCGGCCCCAATACATATTGTAAATGAAAATACAAATTGGGGGAATGAGCCAAGATGCAGAAAGTCTGAGACGTCTCACCCTGTCTGCTTCCCCAGACCCAGGGCGCCCCTGCTCATGGGTGGTGATTACCCAATAATGGGGAACCCAGCCCCTGAAGGCTCCATACAGCACATTTTCCGAAGATGAAAAGCTCATTTGTTAATAAGTACATAGCAATATCAAAATTTTGGTTGCATTGTGAGGCTGGTTGCCTTCTCCATTCACCAATGACAGACCACTTAAAAAATAAATAACACGTATAATTTAAGCAACTAAAACAAATAACAGTGTTGGCTTCCTTGGGAAAATATTTTCACTATCTCCTCCAGGCGTCCCCACGGGTGCCCCTGCTGTGAAGCTTTCTCGGCGGGTGGCCGGGGCGTGGAGCACGCACAGAGCCATGAGGGGCAGGGGACCTCACCCACTGCCTCCTTGGAGGCTGGGGTCGTTTTCTCAAGAGATGGGCAGTGGGGAACTACTGCCTTCTTTCACACACACACACACACACACACATACACACACACACACACACACACACACACCCTCACCCTCTTCCCTGGCACCCTCTCCCCCCAGGGTTACAAACTCAAAGGCCTGCGGGGCAGACAGGAAGCATAAGTGGGCAATGCAGGTGGGTGTGTGAGGAGATAGAGACTGGTGAGGCTTGTGGTAAATTGAAGAGCAAATGTCCGTCTCATAGAGGACAAACGTGGCCAAAGGTTGCTTTACAGGAATGGGGGAATGGAAGCCCAGTTTTGTCAAATCTCCTGACATTTTGAAAGACGCCATCAATGTGGATTTTCATGGCCTCAAAGGTCCTACATTCTGGCCCCCACTGCCTCTCATTTCATCTCTACCCTTCACTCATCCTGCTCTGGCAACACTGGCCTCTTTCCTGTTTGGGGGCTATTTGCCAGACACACTCCTACCTCAGGACATTTGCACTGGCTGGTCCCTGTGCCCGGAGCGTTCTTCTCCCAGGTGCACTCACAGTTAGGGAGGCCAGTGTGGCTGGAGTGCACTAGGTGAGGAGGGATACGGCAGAGAAGGAAATTAGAGGGGACAGATTATGGTGGGTGCAGGGATGTTTTGGCTCATCACAAAGTTCAGGGGATGTTAACAGCATTTACTAGATAAAGGCCCAGCATGCCAGACCCCCTTGCAATGTGCAGACAGCCCTTCACACAAAGAATTATCCACCAAACATTAAGGCAGGTGAAAAACCCAGTTATGTTTGGAACCTAGAATCTAACTTTATTTCACATTTAACACGGAGTGTTTTTATTTTTTGCACAAACGTATTAAATACTGGACTTTCTAGGGCTGCTGCTTGTGTATAAATCAAGGGGAGATTACGCTCTATTCTGTTGGGAGCTTTATCAGGAGTCGGCCACCTTGAAGGGGACCCCATCGTCGAAAGCCATGACACTGGTGGAGTTTCAAACACCAGCTAAGCATCAGTCAGCATTTGTGGGTCATGTGCACGGAGAGCTCCCGACGTGGGCTGCAAGCTCTGACACCTTCGCTCGGTCTTGCCGGAGAGTCTGGAATATTTACATACTGAGGTAACTGTTATTTTATTATAAACTAGTTGCCTTTTAATTCTCCTCCAGAGCATAGTTAGGACATTACAGGGCTTATATGGATTTATTTAAATTATGTGTGTGGATAGGTTATATTACTTATGAATTTTATTTCAGCACAGTGTAAGGAGCATTTCAATGCATTTCTTACTGAAAAAAGAAAAAGACGAGAAGGAGAGAGGCCTGATACGCCTGAGTCCCCCGGGTGTGGGACCTCCCAGCACACAGTGAGAGACATGGGCTTCTCCTTGGTCGAGCTGGGAGCCCTGGGAGGGACGCCTCAAGGGGCAAGGGCAGAAGCAGGGACATCACCTAGGGAACCTCAGCCATCCAGGAGGAATCCTAGACACAGCAGTGGAGGGGGTGAGAGGCGGAGCTGAGACACTGGCTGGTGGGCTGGATGTGGGAGGTGAGAGACAACCCCAAGGTTTGTCAGAGTCACAGGGGGAAAGAAAAGGGGACAATTTCCGAGCTAGGGACATCTGAGTCTTGGTTCGGGTGTCATCCTGTGGCGAGGAAATATAAAAAGCCCACTGGCTAACACTAGGAGGCCACCTCCATCCTGTCACCCCACCCCCACCAATGGCGGGCACTGGCAGAGTCACATTAGGAACAAGCGTGGCATTTGCAGTCAGAACACCTGGGCTTGGGTCCTGGCTCCAACACCAACTGGCTGTGGGATCCTGAGCAAGTGCCTTAACTTCTCTGAGACTTGGTTTCTTTGCCCTGAAGAATGAGGTTGATGATAATCCTCACCTTAGAGTGTTGTTGTGACGGCACAACTAGCTGTCAGCAAAGCAGGGCATGAACGGATCTTTGTCCCTGATGGTTCTATTGCTCTCAGTCTTCTGTGCTACTTCATGTCCCCTTAGGCTGCCCTCAAGAAGTAAGGGACACTCAGGCCAACCTTCTGCTTAATTTTCAACTTATCTACATCCTACTCCTCTTCCAAAGATGTCTTTTAAAAATGCACATATGTGCGTGCGCACATGCACGCACGCACGCACGCACGCACAGAGGTATACAAAAGGAAGGAAAGAGAATTAAGAAAACAAGATAAATTGAGTGGAAGAATGAATAGAGCTGCAGTGACTGGGCATCGAAGCAGCCATGAATTCCCCAACAGATAAGACAAAACAGAAAAGTCAGCTACGGCTGCATAACAAACCACCAAAAGCCAAGGCACAGAAAACGCCACTGCTTACTCCTCAGAAATCGGTGGGTCAGCTGGACAGGCCTGAAGCTCTGCACGCCAGTTGAGGCTGACCTTGGCTGGGCTCCCTCACGCATGTGGGGTCGGATGGCGCGTTGCCAGGTGCTCTGCGATGGCCTCTCCCCCTCCAACAGGCTGGCCCAGTCTTGTTCACAAGGCAGGGGCATGATTTCAGTTCTTTTAAATATATGGAGACCTGAGTCAGGCCTGGCATACGGTCTGTGACCTGAGAATGTGGAGGCTGCGGGGGCTCTCCAAAGGCCTCTTCCCCTAAGCGTAGACCTGGCATGCCACCACCCCTGCCACACTCTCTTGACCGAAGCCAGTCACGAGGCCAGGCCAGGTTCAAGGGGCAAGAAATGGACCCCACTTCATACTGGGAGGAGTGGAGGACTACCACTATTTTTTCAACGTACCACAATGACAGACTCTAATATCAGAGGGGAAGGAGTATGGCAGTTTCTTGGAGCAGAATTGTTCCCCTGGACCACCTCAGAGGAATCTTCCAAGGTGCAGACAACGCGTTGTCTTCTTGTCTCCCTAGCAGTGGTCACTCACTGACCTTGACTGCTGACTACGTGCCAGACCTGCCAAGTGCTCTAGGTCCATGTGCTTCCAAAACCACAGGGGGCTCCGCGTGGACCTTAGTCATGAGGACTTTCACTCAGCACATGGAGAAGGAGTTCTTGTGTGGTCTTCACTGTTTTATCACTTTGCTTTTCATTCGTGATACGTGACACCAAATTTTCCTCTTATGCAAATAAGGTAAATGTTTCCTTTTGAAAGAGACGAATGTAAGTCTTTTAAAAGTAGGTCAAGTTAAAGGAAAATTAAATAAATAAATCATTGACTTTCATGATAGGAAATAAATAATTTTTATGACAAACGATTTTTTAATAAATAACTAGTGATACATAGATACAGGACGTTTGTGGCCATAGGCAAACTCATGAGGGGGCAGACAATGGACTGAAATTTGGGGAACACATTAAACAACCTCTTCATCCCTGAGATCTAACTATTGTGATTTCCATTTTGCAGATGGGGAAACTGAGGACAGATGGGGCCCACAGAGGCTCAGGTCCCAGATGCTGCCAGATGTGCAGCTCTGCCTGGAAAGACCCCGGTGAAAGCTCCCGTGAGACCTGTAACAGGAAGTCTGGCACACAGCAGAGGCCTGTGGCAGCATCTGTCCCCAAATGAGACCGTGGGGCTCCCTGTGTGCCTCCCGCCCATTCCTGGCTACTGAGCATGATGAGGACCTCAGACAGGGCTCTGGCAAGACGCACTCTCAGAATTTGAATCAAATGGAATTTGAATCAAATGGAATTTGAATCAGAAAGTTCCCCGGAGACCCAAATGAGGCATCGGGCTGAAATCTCCAGGAGAGGTAGGTAAAAGCATGGCGCATGTAAACTGGATTCACTTTGCACCTGGGAGCCAAGCACACGCAGCGATGCTGGATAAATGAGGAGAAAATAGACCTGCTTGAGGGAGAGGCATATGGGGGAGCCTCTTGTCCCCTGCACTGCTATGGCTGTGCCTCCAATTCTAGGAAAGGGTGTCCTGTGGGATCAGTGCTGGGACTGAGGGACTGAGGCCCAGTGCGGGACAGGAGTGGTAACGGACGTGGCAGAGCTGTCCCTGGCCCCACACCCCTTGGTGTCTCATATCACTTGGAAGTTCTTCCTGGTGTCTAGCTGTTTCTCTCCCCCTTCCTCTAACATGCTCTGGCTGGCAAAGAAAGGAGACCAGCATCTTAGAGGACACCCATGCCAGAGCACCCGCTAAGCAAGCCCACAGAGGTGCCACATGACTGACACCCCCAAAGCTGAAGGGTATCCAGGGAGAGAGGGGAGAGTGGAGCCAGGAGTCAGGTAGAAAGGTGGTTTCTGCCTTACGCTGTTCCTTCCTCCGTTTATTCGTGTGTTAGTTCGTTCACGTGGTGGGTCAGCCCTGGCCCCACAGGAGCTAGGGGAAGCCTTCTGCTTACCAGCCCCCGCCCCCACCCAGCACCATGGTGGTGCTGAGGCAGCGAAGAGCAGAGGTGAGCGTGGCCAGACCGTCAGCAGCCTCTGCTTGAAGTTCGGACTTGGCTTTATGGGCTGTGCGGCTGTGGCAAATCCCACAACACATGGAGCCGTGGCTTCCTCACCTGTGAGATGAAGATAGTAATCAAATCTACCTCACAGGGATTTTCTCAGAATTAGATGAGATGATGCAAGGAAAGTGCTTAGAAAACATCTGGCCCATGGTCAGTACTCAAAACCAAGGTAGCTATTTGTTGCTATTATTATTATTATTATTATTTCCACTCCCTTTCCATAACAGGTCCCCAGCCTCTGCCCAGGCTCCCCTCACACCGTCTCACACTCATTTCATGCCCCAGGGCCTTTGCTCAGGATTCCCCCATCACCTGGAATGCCCCCCCCCACTCCGCACCCCAATCCAGCCTGTTCCCGGGGCCAGCCCCCTTCCCACCTCCTCCAGGCAGCCCCGAGCACAGCTGGAGCCGCACCACCTCCCGTGCTGCCAGGCTCTGGCTTTCACAGTGGCTGCCTCTCATCACCTCTCGGGGTGCTCATCTCCTCTGCCCGGTGGTGGGACGCTCTTTGGTCAGACCTAAGCTCTCTCCTTTTTCAGGTGTGCTTCTTGGCTGTCTGATGGGATTTGTTCCAGAAAATAGCTCCAGGTGTCATCTTCTAAGACAGCGGTTCTCCAGTGAGGATGATTTTGCACCCAAGGGGCATTACTGGTTGTCGCAACTGGGGAAGGGGCTTGTTCGCTACTGTTATCCACTGGGCAGCAGCCAGAAAAGATGCTAAACGCCCCGCAGCGCACAGGACACCGCCTGCAACGGAGACTTATCAGGCTCCCAATGTCCAGAGTGCCGAACGAGAGCAGCCCTGCTTTCAGGAGACACCTGTTCTCCTCCAGACAGCCTGAGCTCTGGGGTTTCGGGTAATTCTTGGCAGGACTGCGTACCCCACAGCTAAGGGGGTGTGCCGCTTCACAGCCTCCAGCACCTGGAGCTGTGCCTGCGCCTCCGCACCCCGCCCCGTCTCAGCACATCCGCGATTCCCTGCGGATTTGTCTGAAGCAATTGACCTGTGACTAAGGCCAGCTGAGCTTGCCTTGTTCCCGCCGGGCAGGGACAATACCCCATTAACTGGGAGGCCAGGTCCGGGGCCTCAGCACAGAGCATGGACTGGATAGGAACAGGAGGGAAACAGGGCAGGGCCAGGGCAGTCCCGGGAGGGGAGGGCAGGGCCCCTGGTGCTAATTGTTATAATCAGGCAACACGAAAGTCAGCATCTCCTTGGAGATGCCCAGTACTGAGGACTTATGCTTTATTCACATTCCTGATGAGATGCCTCCTCCACCAACGGGGGTATCGTTTGTTGTTCTTAAACCAACCAGAAGAGGAAATTGAGGCTGAGAGAAATCCGCGATTTGCCCAACGTCACCCAGCTAGTAGATGGAGAGGTAGAGGCAGGAACCCAGATGATCAGAATTATGGTTTTTATTAAGCATGCATTCTGTGCCAAGCTCTGTGAAAAGTACAGAGAGGGAGCTGGTAACCTCAGGGGATCCCAGGACCCTGAAGAATATGATAAAATCTACAGCCACACCCCTCATTGCAGCATCTGACACTTACCTACCACGAGGCTCCACCCCCACCACCAGTGATTGGACCAGGAAAGGGTCTGACCCCAGATAAGCCAATCAGAACCTCCCTCCAAGGACTTGGAATTAGGACGGAACGTGTGCCAGTCAGAGAGCAGTGGGCCCTGAAGATAAAGGTCCTGAGGGAGCAGCATCTTTGTCTGATGGGGGGTTGTTGAAAACCGAGGGCAGGTGGAAGTAAGGGAAGGACAAACCTCAAACTTCTACGTATGTCAGAGGCACTCGGCCTGTGGAGAGGCTGGGAACTCTCACACGGGGAGCAGCTGACCAGCCACGCAGCTCTGGAGGCAGAAAAGGTCACTCTGAGCACCTCACTTCCTGAATCTTCATTCCAACGGAATCCCCAGATCTCAGAGTTAGAATGTGTTTTGCTCTTTGCATCTAAATGTGAACTTGGCAAACTTTTCCTGTAAAAGACCAGATAGTAAATGTTCCCAGCTTTGAGGGCTACAGAGTCTGTGTCCCAACCACTTAACCCTGTCCTTGCAGCAGGAAAGCAGCCGTGACAATAAGGACGTGAAGGAGCGTGGCTGGGTTCCAACAAAGCTTTAAATACCAAAATGCACAGAGGGCAGAAGTTGGCCCACAGGCTGTAGTTTGCTGACCCCAGACCCAAATAAAGCTTGAGGTCGTGTCCAGCATTTGTCTAAAGCACAACTTCTTGTGTCTCGAGAGATGGCACGGCCATTTGCCCAATTGGCCACAGACCTGGTGTAGCTGATAAGCCAGTGCCCCATTCCTATCCCGTGGGCACTGACCTCTAGACCTGAAGCTGCTTACTGCAAAGCCCTGGGACCCTGCCACATAGCATACAGTGCTGACAGATGGTGACCCAGCCCCTCAGCCCGGGGTCTGAGATGTGTGCTGCGTCCTATCTCCCCCAGACTCCCTGCAGGAATAAGCTGAAGATGCCCCTTCATTGGCTGTTTTTGCTTCTCCAACTCAATTCTCTCCCCTGTGGGTGCTCCCTGGAAGCACCTCTCAAATAAACCACTTGCACTGGAGTCCTGCTCTCAGGCCCTCCCGACCCAAACTCAAACACCCAGGGATCTCCCATGACTCCTCTCATTCTCTCTCATCCCACACCCAAACCGTCAGTGAATCAGCCCTTCCTCAATACACAGGGAGTCCAACCACTTGTCACCACTGCCACGGTGCTTTCCCCTTGGTTCCAGCCATGGTCATCTCTGGGACCCTCATAACTCCTTTCTCCACACACACAGCAGCCAAACCAAACCAAACCAAAGTTCAGCCAAGTCCGGTCTCTGCTCAAAAGCCCCCCTGGGACTCCCCAGCCCATTTAGAATGAAATACCAAGTCCTCAAGCTTGTCTACAAAGCCGGCAAGAGCTGGCTGCTGACCGCCTCTCTGATCTTTCCTTGTGACCTCCCTCTCATTCACTCTACTCCATCATGCTGGCCTCTTCAGTGCTCTGTACGTGCTGCACATGTTCCTGCCTCAGGGCCTTTGCACTGCCTCTTGCTCTGGCTTAGGCCACTGCTCCCCAAAATATCTCCAGGGTTCCTTCACTTACTATATTCAAGTCTCTCCTCAAATTTGACATGATCAGTGAGGTCTTCACTGTCTATCCTCCTTCAAACCAATCCCTACTCTTAACTCTCTTCTTGTCCATCTGCTTACGCTGCTATATGGCCTGCCTCTAATAGTATGTATTTATTTGCTTGTTTGATTTTGTTTGATCTCTCCTGACTAGGATGTAATCTGCTTTGGCCTATGCTTGGCATATGCTAGTTATTCAGTAATAATGCCTACCTGATGGGATGAGTGTGGGGATCAGGTGAGATAATCCACATGCATTGCCTCGTAGACATTAAAGTACTTAAATAAATGGCAGCAATGTTTATCATTGGGATAAACATAGCTGCCCCATTTTCTCCATCTGTAAAATGGGCTTGTAGTGAGATTACATGAGATGATGAATGTAAATTGCTGGGCATATAACCCTCTATAAAAATTAATGATATTTTTTATACACATTTTTATACACGGTCCATGAAGCACTAGCCATTTCTGCCTTCCTTAAAGATTCCTCACAAGGCCTGGAATTAGCATGAACATAAGACCTTGAAGTCAATGGCTGAAGAAGGATGATTCCAGTTTAGCTGTTTCCATTCTCATTGCCTCTGCGCTGATGCCAGCACATTCTTTCTGGGAATTTTCCTGCACTAAATCTGCCCCGGGTCTCCAGCAGACAGGCAGCCTGGCGTCCCTTAGAAGCCCCACGCAGGCATCAGAACCCCAGCTCCCCTCCGGAGCCCAGACCCCCAGGCTCAGCAGCCACCGTGCCTCTGTGTGATGTTGCCCCTTATTGGGCATCATTAGGTACACAGTAATTATAATAATTATGTGCACTGCTTAGGCGACCATCCTCAGTAACAAGCACTGCTATTCAGAAGTCATAATTGCTGCATCAAGACTTAAAATGAAGGCTAATTCGATGTCAGTTGCTCCCCCAAACTCATGGCCCCCTGCATAAACTCTGTACCCAAAATGCCCCACGGCCACTGGCCATTCTTGATTAATCTGCAGAAGCCAAAACCAAGAATTTGGTCCACAGGAGAGCATGGCTGTGCCTGTGGGATTAAGAGGAGGAAACACGAGGATGCTGGGAGGACAACTTGTGGGGTGTTAAATCATTTAAAAAGAAAAGAATCTGAGGGCAAGGGTGACCAAAGAGCCTAGGCTGGCCGTCAGGAGATGGGGTTGGAATCCTGGCTGCGTCAAGGTCTTGCTGTGCTGGTGAGCAGATCACCTCTTTCCCTGTCTATGAAGTTGGAGGGTCTGACCTAGAGAAGTGCTATGGAGGTGTTCCTTCACATGGGACCTTATAAGGGAGCGATAAACAAAAGGCAAGCACAGCTGCTTTGATAAAGATGGGATGAGAGGGTCCTGAGACCACCTGCCCTATTCCCCGCCACCGTACCTTCTGAGATGCCTCTGTGAGTCCTTTGGTTTCCTGGCAGCGTCAGTGCTCTCGGAAGCGTGGGTTCGCAAGCTCGGCCCCACATTTTGAGGGAAAAATGAAGAGCACTGAAAGTGGGGAACGTGATTAAGTATAAAAGGTTACTTTTTTCTTTTCTTCAGCTTTGTAAGAGACAACTAACTGACTAGTCAAAGCAAAAATAATAACATTGTTTTGAGAAGTTTATAACATGTAGAAGATAGATCTTCAGTATCTATAAATATAGAGATATATATAAAAATAATAGCACAAAACAGGAAAGAGTAAATGGAATTGTACTGTTATAATATTTTTACATTTTGTTTATAATACTTAATTTATTTATTACATTTAATATATTATCTATATATAAGTGAAGTGGTAGAATATTAACTCTAAGTAAAGCTAAAAATAGAAACAGGTATAGCTAAAAAGATAATAGAGGAAATAAAATAGACTACAAATGTATTCTGTATCCCAAATTAAAGCAGAAAAGGAAAACAGAATTTTATAAAGATAGGTCAAATAGAGAACAAATAGTAAGATGATAGATTTAAACCCAACCATATCAATAATTACAATAAATGTCAATGCTTTAAACACTCCAATTAATAGGTAGATATTGTTATGCTGATTCAGAGAAGTAAGACCAACTTTATTCATACAAAAGAAACATTTTAAATATAAAACCAATTGAAAGAATAAAGATATACCCTAAAAACAGTAAACATAAGAAATTTGGTGTAACTATATTAATACCAGAAAAGTAGAGTTTAAGACAAAGAGTGTTTTCAGATGTAAGTAGGTACATTTCATAATTATAAAGGGAAAATTTGCCAGGAGGGCACAACAGTCATAAGTGCCTATAAACCTAATAATAGAGTTTTTAAATATATGAATAAAAAACTGATACAAGGGGTAGATTCCTGACCAATGCACTATATACCAGAAGCTCTAGTAGAATAACATTGAATGTCAACTATAACTAAATAAATAGGTATATATAGTCACGGGATGTGGAGTACAACATAGGGAAGATGGTCAATGGTATTGTAACAGCTACATAGGATGTCAGAGGGGTAGTAGCTTGGGGGAGGGGAGTAATCAATTTATGAGGAGTTTAAATGTCTATTATGTTGCTCTGCACACCTGAAACTAAAACAAACAAGCAAACAAACTCGTGAAGTCTGTATAAGACCAATTTAGTTAATAATCTGTACTAATGCTAATGTCTTAGCTTTATTGAACTATAATTGACAAATAAAAATTGTATATGTTTAAGGTGCATAAAAAAATTGACATAAGGGAAAAATAGACAAATCCACAATCAGAATCATTTATTTTAAAGCTCCTTTCATTAATAAAATTAATTAATAAACAGTTAATTAATTAATTAGTTAATTAATTAAAACGGTAGACAAAAATTAATAAGACTATGTGAACATAGTATCAATTAACTTAATGGAAATTTATAGACACATTACACCCAACAACTGCAGAATATACATCCCTTTCAAGTGTACATGAGACAGTCACCAAAATAGACCATATAATTAGGGAGTAAATAAGTTCAATAAATTCCAAAAGATTGAAGTTTCAGAGTAAAAGATTTGATCATAATGAAATTAATTTATAAATCAGTAATAAGATATCTAGAAAATCCCAGTATTTGAAAATTATACAACACACTTCTAAATAACCCATGGATCAAAGAAATCAAAAGGGAAATTAGAAAATATTTCAAACCAAATGATAATAAAAACAGAAATATACAAATTTGAAAAATGTAGCTAAAACAGTACTCAGATATTTATAGCTTTCGATGTTTACATTTTTTAAAAATGAAAGATTTAAAAATCAGTGCTCTAAGTTTCTACCTTAAGAACTAGAAAAGGGAGAACAAATTAAGCCCAAAGAAAACAGAAGGGAATAATAGCAATGAGAACAGAAGTCAGTAAAATAAAAAACAGATGGATAATAGAGTCAAACCAAACATTGGTACTTTGAAAGATTAATAATATAATTGATAAACTTCACAAGAATTATTAAGAAAAAAGAGATAAAACAGAAATTTCCAATATCAGTAATGGAAAAGGAACAGCACCACAAACCCTACAGATATTGAAAGAATAATAAGGGACTAGACAACTTTGTACCAATAAACTCAACAAAGTAGATAAAATGAAAACATTTCTTTAAAGATGAAACATATCCAAATAGGCACAAAATGACATAGAAAATGTTAGTAGCCTTTTACCCAGTAAATAAATTAAATTAATTACCAAAAAACCTTTCCAGCAAGAAAACTACAGGCCATGATGATGTCAATGGTAAAATCTATTAAACACTTAGGAAAAAAATACTCCCAATCTTACACAAAATCTTGTAGAATACACAAGCAGAAGAAATATTTCCCAGCACATTTTCTGAGACCAAGATTAACGGTAATATCAAAACCAGACATTAGGAGTGACATCACTAAAAATGGTGGGGTAGGAAATTCCAAAATTCCATCCCTCACTAAAGCAACAATTAAGCTGGCCAAAACTGCCAAAATCAACTTCATCAGAACTCTGGACTCTAATCGAAAACTTTAAACAAGCAGAAAAGTGCTTCATGAAGACGTAAGCTGCTGAATTTTGATATGAGAGTACTGTGGCAGTTTAACTTGCCCACCTACCCTTCCCCATACCAGGATGGCGTCCCAGCCCATCCTGGTATGACTTTCTGGTGACAGAAAGAGAAACGCAGGCCTTGTTTTCAAAGAATTGTGGTTGTGTGTATTGACCTATCCTGTGGCTCCCTGAAGAATCATCTCAGGGCCGTGCCTTTGTTTTCCCTATCTCAAAACTTTCTCAGGGTGGCATCTGGCAAAAGAATTGAAAGGAAAATATACACCGCATACAGCCACCTCGGGCAGGGGATAACAATTAGGAAAGTGGCAGGCAGACCAAAAAGCCTGTGAAGGAAGAAACTGGGGAAGGAGATATGTGGTAGAATAAGGGCTTTGAAAATGTCCTACACACACTGAGGTGTCTAGAAGGCCACACACATGCCCAGGGCTGGGTGCATATACATAAAGGACCTGTTAAGACTCTAAGCTTTTATTTCTGGCTGACATTTAGGATCCATAAAAGCAGGAAGTAGTCTATGGCAGAGCTGTAAATGGTGTGATGAAGCATTGAAGGGCCCTCAACACAAAGCCAATATGCAAATACAGGGAGAGGTTTGGGGTTGGGAGGTTGTTTTGTTTAGTGTGCGTGTGTGTGTGTGTGTGTGTGTGTGTGTGTGTGTGTTTGTTTTTTACTCCAAGCATTTAAGAAAATCTCTGTCACATCACTACCTGACTACTAACTTACTAGAACAGAGATTTTTGTGACCACAAGAGGCAAAGAATATAATCTTTATAAACATAGTTTAGAAAAGTCACTAAATAAACAACTACGACCCATAACAAGCAGTAACAATAAACTCAGGGGAGAGAAAGAATCTAATTTCCAGAGTTATGCATTTTAATAGTCAAAATGTCCAGGATCAACAACAACAAATGCCTGCAAAGAAACAAGTATAGCTGACTGATTAACAGGAGAAAAGTTTATAGAAACTTTCCCTGAGGAAGCACCGACGTAGACTTACTAGAAAAAGGCTTTACATCAGCTGTCTTAAATGTACCCAAACACCCAAAGGGAACCATGGGCAAATAATTAAAGGAAACCAGAAGAATATTTCAACACATAGACAGTATCAATAAAGAGATTTAAATTATTTTAAAAGGAACCAAACAGAAATCCTGGAGCTGAAAAATACAATTAAATGGAAACATTCACTGAAGGGGCTCAACAGCATTTTCAGAAGCAAATGAAAGACTCAGTGAATTTGAAGGTGGGTTGATGGAGAAGCAGAGAAGCAGAAAGAAAATAAAGAATGAAAAAAATGAACACAGAATGAAAGACCCGTGGGAAATCAGCACACATACCAACATATACACAATGAGAGTTTCAGGAGAAGACAGAGAAAGGGACATGAAGACCATTTGGAGAAATAATGGCCTAAACCTTCCCAAAGTTGATGAAATACATGAATCTATACATCCAAGAATTCTCAACAATCCCCAAGTAGGATTAACTCAAAATGGTCCACCAAAATACATTATAATCAAACTGTCAAAAGGCAAAAAGAAAATCTTGAGAGTAGCAAGAGAGAAATGACTTATTACACACAGGAGAACCTCGGTAAGACTAACAGTAGATTTCTCAGAATCCATGGGGGCCAGAAGGCAGTGGAAT